CTGCTTGACGTGACAGATTCCTTGGTCGGCGCCGTCCGCGCCCGTCGGGCCGGGCGCCCGCTCCGCCTGCGGGGCGCCGGCGGCGGCGGCGCCCGCGCCTCTCGGGGGGCGACGGCGGGGCCGCGCGCGGGCGGGTGCGGGCGGCGCCCTCCCGGGCGCTCTCGGGGCGACAGAGGGGTGCGGGGGGGAGGTTCCCAGACCCCCTCGCGCTGTGGAAAAGATCACGACGGGAGGCTTTTGCACCATTGTCGGCCCTCCGGGGGCCCTCGCCGGGCCTCGGGGCCGCCAGAAAGCGAGTCAGGATGAAAAACCGGTTCTGGGGAAGGGGTCCAGACCTCTGGGGGTCGACGTTGTGAAAAAATCACGACGTCGGGGGTCTGGGGAGGGGTGCGGGGGGGGAGGTCTGTCGAGGTGCATCGGGGAGGTGGAGACGATACGATACGACACACTTGCGATCCAGTTGCTGTCTGACTGAGCAAAGCAGAGGCAAAACATAAAAGGAAGCGGAGCCTCGAAGTACAGTGGCTGGAACTGAGTTCGCTTCTCCGTGAGCGACTGTCTAGATCGCTCTGCAGGGGGATGCCTCTGGCCCAATCCGAGATCCTTCGAAACGTGGAGGTGGAGGAGAAGGAGGAGGAGGATCGGGGAGGACATTCGGGGTCGAGGGGCGGACTGGAGGTGGAGGATATCGAGGTGGATCGGGGAAGATGTCGAGGTGGAGGAGGATATCGACGTGAATATCGAGGTGGATGGGGGAGGATATCGGAAAGCGGGCGGTCTTGGGGCGGTCTTGAAGGCCTTTTCGGCCGTCTTGGAGCGTCGGAAGCTCGAAAACTGTAAGTTCGCGCGGCGTCGGTGCGCGCAAAGGTTTTCGACACCGCGTCGATCAATCGTTCAACCCTGAACCGATCGCGGCCCCGATCGTTCCAGGTTGAACTCTGTTGGCCCCTGTGGCGTTATGTAGTGTCCTTTAGCGCTCCCACGTCGTTCGATCATGCGGAGTTCAACTCGGGCGACAGAAGGGTGTGTGGGGGGGCTCTGGGGCGGTCTTGGGGCGGTCTTGAAGGCCTTTTCGGCCGTTCCGGAGCGTTGGAAGCCCGAAAACGCGAGAAGGCCAAAAACTTCCAAAAAACAGCGAAAATCAACGACGATTCGGGCCTTTTCGGGCGCTCCCAGGACGCGCCTCGGAGCTCTCTCGGTGCCTCTTGGAGGCCTCCCGGGAAAGGATATCGAGGTGGATCGTGGGTCGAGGAGGAGGCTGGAGGTGGAGGAGACCGTAGGAGGCTCGGGGAGGCCCCGATTGAGGACGAGGGCCTCGATCCTGGGTGTCGAACTGGGCCGCCTCTTCAGGGCTTGCAGGGGAGATCGAGGGTCGAGGGTACAGCAGGAGGAGGCGGAGGCTGGATAAGGAACAGAGGACGAGGGGGCTGCAGGAGGAAACTGGAGGAGGGGGAGGATCGAAGGCCGAGATGTTCCGATTCGGCCTCCAGGGCCTTCGACGAGGAGGACGGGGGAGGATGTGACTGGAGGATGATAGAGGACAAGGAGCAGAAGGATGATAATGTTTGAAGAGGATGGAGCAAAAGATACAGGAGACTGAGGGATACTCCAGCAGACTGTGGCAGGAGGTGGCCCTGCAAGGGCCTTCACAAACCTTTTGGAGACCTCTGAGGGAGACTGGACGGAAATGGAGGATGAGACCCGAGGAGGATGAGCATCTAGAGACATGCCCCCCCCGCCGGGTCACCTAAACTTTCCTGATAAGGCGCAGCACCTACACCTGCGGAGAGCGGCGCCCTCTCAAAATAAGGATGCCGCGGGATGCTTTCTCTAATGTTACGGCCAGGACCTAAAGCATGCTATCCAATGGCTACATGGATGGATCAGAACCGATATTTCAAACTGGTTGTATGGCTCAGATACCCTTCTGACTGTTTGGCCACATGTTAAAACGCTCGTTGCTTCAATGCTGGAGGTCCGCTCCGTTTCGAAACGTGGCCCTCGCCTAACTGACAAGGTCGTGAGTCTTTCTAGTGGGCGCTATCCGCACAGAGAGAGCCAACGGATTATTGTGCGGAGTGGGGAGGCTTCCTGCGGCGGGACCATTACCACAACGTCATCGGAGTGTTCTGGGTTTAATCTGGTCGTCCTTCTCCTCCCCTTCCTCCCTGTCCCCGTCCCAATGCTCCACATAATACCATAACACTTACTCGACCGACGCAAGGCCCCCCCAACAACAAAAAGACACGCCATTGTTCGTGTGCTCGCAGCTCCCTGGGATCGCCTCTTCGCCCAATCCCGCCCCTCCTCCTCCTCCTCCTCCTCCTCCTCGCCCCCCTCCTGCGCCTCCTCTCCCATCAAACCTGCCTTTCTTCTTCCTCCTCCGCCTCCTCCTCCTCCTCCTCCTCCTCCTCCTCCTCCTCCTCCCTCCTCCTCCTCTTCATCATCATCATCATCATCATCATCATCATCATCATCATCATCATCATCATCATCATCATCAGCATCATCATCATCATCATCATCATCATCATCCGCCTCCGCCTCCTCCGCCTCCTCCTCCTCCTTTTCCTTTTCCTCCTCCTCCTCCTCCTCCTCCTCCCCATCTTTTTCAGACTCCTCCTCCTCCTCCTCCTCCTCCTTCCCCTCCTCCTCCTGCTGCTCCTCCTCCTCCTCATGCTCATCTTTGTCCTCCTCCTGTTCTTCTTGGCGAGGCGAACAGGTCTGCACACCGCCCACGCGCTCCCTGACCCCGGCACCGAACTCGACGAGCGGGCAAGCGACAATGAGCATCCAGCCGCGCGGCAGCGCTGAGGCTGCCCAACCGGCCGCCTCACTGGCCAGCCGCTCCGCCGGCAGGCCCCGGGGCTTCAGGGCAGGGCCGCGCCCCAAGGAGTTCCGAAACTGCCGCGCGGTGGCGCGGTCGGGGGCCACGCCGAATTCGGCTCCCCAGCGCCGCGCCATCGCGCTCGGGGCCGCTTCCGCTGGGCGCCTAAGGCCTGCGCGAGGTCCCGCGCGAGCAAGCGCAGGTGGCGCACCGCCGCCGTGCCCAGCCAGCCCGCTGCCTCGTGGGTTGGCAGGAAGACTGGCCAGGGAGCGCGGCGATCGGGTCCGTGCCGGCGCTTGCTCGTCTCCCCCTCGGCGGCCACCGCGTCGTCGGCGTCCGCGGCCGCGGTCAGGATGTGAGCGCCCCTGGGGACGCCGTTGCGGACTACGACGTCTGCTAGCATCCTGGGCCAGTCGCCGCGCTGCGCCTCGAAGTCGAGGGGCGCATGCTCCCATTCGCCTCCATTGTGCCCCCGCAGGCGCTGCAAGGGACGATCGTTGGGGAGTCCGCGCAGCCGCGCGCGCCGCAGCCGACCCCGACACAGCGACAGCGCCATCGGCCCTGGGTCCGAGGGTGTAACCAGGACCTCATCCTCCCGCTCCTCCCCATCATCCTCCACTGTCTTCCCTCGTCGTCCCTGCTCCTGCCTCTCACATTCTTTGTATTGTTCAACTATTCCTCCTCCTCCTCCACCTCCTCCTCCTCCTCCACCTCCTCCTCCTCCTCCTCTTCCTGCTCCTCCAACTCCTCTTCCTCCTCTTCTTCCTGCCCCTCCTCCGTCCCCTTCCGTTCTCCTCCTCCTCCTCCTTCTCCTCCTCCTCCTCTTCTCCTCCTCTCCTCCTCCTCCTCCTCCTCCTCCTCCTCCTACCTTCTCCTCCTCCTCCTCCCTCTCCTCTCCTCCTCCTCCTCCTCCTCCTCCTCCCCTCCTCCTCCCCCTCCCCCTCCTCCGTCCCCCTCCGTCCTCCTCCATTTCCCTCAAACCACTCGCGTCCCCCCTCCGCCCTCCTCCGCCCCCTCCATCCTCCTCCTCCTCCTCCTCCTCCTCCTCCTCCTTCTCCTCCTCCTCCTCCTCCTCCTCCTCCTTCCTCCTCTTCCGCCGTCCCCCTCCGCCCTCCTCCGTCCCCCTCCGTCCTCCTCCTCCCCTCCGTCCTCTTCCTCCTCCTCGTCCTCCTCGTCCTCCTCCTCCTCCTCCTCCCTCCTCCTCCTCCTCCTCCTCCTCCTCATCTCCTCGCCGAGCTCAGGGTTATGTCGGGCGTGTCCTCCTACAGGGGGATGTTCGACGAAAAATAAAAGATACCCCCCAAAAAATCCAACAGTAGTCCAAACATGGTCTGGGGACTATGTGTTCCGCATTTTTTGACCATTTTGGAACATGTTTTGAATATCTTATACTTTTCGTCGACAATCCCCCTGTAGGGGGACACGCCCGACTTACGCTTAAGGCTCGACTTGCCAAGAGCCGTGAGCAGGCGCGCGCGCGCAGGGCTGCCGAGGCGCCTGGGGCAGGCCACGCCGTGGCGCCGTAGGCTGCAGCTGCGTCGCTCGGGTACAGGGCAGTTTCTAACACATAGGATTCTTATACATGTAGGACTCTTAATCTATGATTCATTTATGGATAAATCAATGCGTACATGCATCGTTGCTTTTAATACTAGATCCCTGCATTTTTTCATACATGTATTAGAAGCGGCACTGCAGGGCCTGTTCGACAGGGCAGGCTGGCGAGTCTCGGCAGTTCACTGCTGTGGACGGCTCGTGCTTCCCACTTGTTCTGCTTTGCCGCCGCCGCTTCACCCCCCTCCCCCTCTGTCTTGCGGTTGCGCCTTTGCTGGCTGACCCGTCGCCATCGGACGCCTGCCCCTCTACTGCTCGCTTGCCCCGGGCCCGCGTGAGCCCAGCCGGGACTCCTGGTGCACCCGACAGCGCGCCGCACGTGCGAGGCCCCCCGTGTGCTGTACCGAGCACCCTCCCCGCCGGGTTCAGCAGCTCTACCGCTGCTGCCAGCCTGCCGCACGCCTCTCTCATGCTCCCTTGCCAGGGGCCCACGTGGCCATAGCCGGTGGTAATGCGGTGCACCCGACAGCGCACCGCACGTGCGAGGCCTGCTTTCTTCGAGCGGCCTGCGACACCCCACCCGCGGGCTCTCGTCCCTCCGCCCGTGTGCCTCCGCACAGAGATGCATGGGATGGTGAGGGCTACTTGGCGTGCAAATGATCGGTGCTGCTGTCCTCAGCCGTCTGTCGCTCGTGCCGGTGAAAGGGAGAAAATAACTCGCCCTGGCCAGGCTAATGACGGCACTGCGCATGCTCGGGCTCGACTGGCGCCACGCAGTCAAGGCAAGCCACTTTAGCTAGCAGGAGAGACTGTGCTGCAGTGTCTCCTCTCTTGAGTCTTAGTGCGAAGATCTATGCTTGTCCCGCCGCCGTCTCGTTCTTGTGCCGTCCTGGGGTCGTAGATTCCATCCCGCCTCAGGTACACGTCGTTCATTTCTAATCGTCGTTCATTTCTAATTGTGCTGGTTTCTAATTGTTCCTGGCCCCCTAGTGGCCAGGAAGAGGCCCAGGATAGAACAATTGGAAATGAAAGGATCTCGGCCCACAAAAAAATCAAGGAACTTTCGAACACTTAGAAATGAACAACGTGTACATACGTGGTGAGTGGCCGTGGATTTGCGGCCTTCTTTGCACATCGGGGACCCGGCACAAAGAAGCAGCCAAGGACCGCCCGCCTCGCTGCAGCGTCAGGGCATCGGCCCCTGCTTTGCCTGGCGTGTTGCGTGCCGACCTGCCACCCGACCAAGCAGCCTCCCTCTCCTCCTCTCCTCCTCCTCCTCCTCTCCTCCTCCTCCTCCTCCTCCTCCTCCTCCTCCTCCTCCTCCTCTCCTCCTCCTCCTCCTCCTCCTCCTCCTCCTCTCCTCCTCCTCCTCCCCTCCTCCCTCTCCCTCTCCTCCCTCCTCCTCTCCTCCTCCTCCTCCTCCTCCTCCTCTCTCCCTCTCCTCCTCCTCCTCCTCCTCCTCCTCCTCCTCCTCCTCCTCCTCCTCCTCCTCCTCCTCCCAAGAAGTCGCCTCCTCCACCACCCGCCCTGCACCCTCGCCCTCGTCCTCGCTCCAGGGCGGGCAGGGCTGCCGCCCGTCCCCGGCGGCCGCCCGCTTTCAGGCCCTCCCGCCGGACAGCGCCTTCCTCGGCGACGCCCGCGGCAGTCCCGCCCGCCAGCTGCTCCTCCTCTGGTGCCTTCGGGGACGGCCAGTTTGCCTCGTCGCCTCGGAGTAGGTTCCCAGAATCAGGGGGGCGTAAGACCCGGGTACAGTGGACTCGGAAATCCCCGACGAGGTCGTCAACAAACATGACGAGGCCGAGCCTGCATTTTGACGAGGCCTCCCGCTGCAGACATCCCACGAAACTCCTACTCGTCAAAATCCGAGTCGCGGTCGTCAAAAAACGATGGCGAACCCGAGTCCTGGCAAACCCGGGTCTTACGCTCCCCCGACAGAAGAAGCTCTTCCGGCCCCGGGATCCTTCAAATGCAACTCGCTGCGAGGGCTCCGGCGAGGGAGGGCCCCTGGAGGCCGAAAATCGCCAAACATATCATGTCATCAATTTTGTTGTCATGACCCTGGGGGGGGGGTCTGCATGCAGGACGGCGATCCATCGAGGATCGACTGGCGGCGGCAGCTCACAATCGGTCCCTGGACCCCTCCCGGGGTCTCAACGCGTGGCGTCGACGGCCCCCTCGAGGGCCAAATACCGTTGTCTCAACTCGCCCTCCTGAGACGCCGACGCCGACGCCGGCGCCGACGCAGACGCCGACGCCGACGACGATGCCGACGCCGACGCCGACGCCGACGACGACGACGACGCCGACGCCGACGACGACGACGACGATGACGACGAACGACCAACCGACCGACGACGATCGATTAACGATCGACCGGCGGCGGCGGCGGTGGCCGCCCGGTGCCTGAGCGGGCGCCACGACGAAGAGGCCGGCATCCGCCCGCGCGCCGTCGCCCGAGAGGTGCAGCCACTGGCCCTTCGGCCTCTCTCGGCTCCGCGCGGGGAAGTGTAAGGCGAGGCTTCCAGGGGGCCAGGGCGGGCTCCTCGTCCTCCTCCTCCTCCTCCTCCTCCTCCTCCTCCTCCTTCTCCTCCTCCTCCTCCTCCTCCTCCTCCTCCTCCTCCTCCTCCTCCTCCCCGTCCTCCTCCTCCTCCTCCTTCTACTCATCCTCTTCCTCCTCCTTCTCCTCCTCCTGACGCGCTAAAACGCATCGAACGATATCCGAGAGGATGGTGGCAGAGAGATCTTTTCCGCAAACAAGCAAAAACCTCGAGCCAAGAGGGTGCCTACGGGTAGACACATCACCGAAACTCAACATAGAGAGTTCAAGATCACACGGGTAGTATACACAGCATGAACTTGTTTACTGAGTCCGTCCCAGTTTAGTGAGCTTGATACTCCACTAAATGAAACCACAGGGGCACCCTCAGACTGCTTTGACATCGGTGACTCTCGGCCTGCTGCCATCTCATAGAGCAGTGCGCTCGGACCTGGTCGGTTCCACCGACGAGGTCTGGGGTGAGGGAGAGGAAAGAGACGAGGACAACGAGAACGAAGACGGACCGACAGACCCGGCCGCCAGTTGCAAGGCCGTGCTCTCGGAGGTGCTCTGCAGGAGGCCTGAACGTGGCAATTGAAGCTGGGCAGCGTTTGACTTGGCGAGGCCGGCCGTCGTCATCACATCTACGGGCATCATGGGCTGGGGTACCCAGCGAACAGCTCCCCCCACGCGCCCAAGAGAATCCCGGCAGACTGCGAGGTCTATCGCAGCTCTCCTGTCAGTATTACTCCCAGGCGTCTCCTGGCCGAGAGTGTCGACGAAACCCCTCGCGTCTACGATGCTGACATTCCCCTCAGGGGTCAGGTCCAGGGTGCAACTCTTGTGCAGCACTGAGGCGAGAGGTCTTACGTGAGACTTCCAAGAATCGTCCACAACCTCCCCCTGATAGCGTCGTAAAACAACATCTGGAGCCATTCGGCTTCGGCAAGTGCCGCGCTCAGTGACTGGAGTTCTCCGGCCAGCGTCGATGGAACCTGACGCTTCGCCCTGCACGAGCGCCACGCGAGAGGGGTAACTCGGGCCCCGGACCCTCTGGCCAGCGCAGCGTCTGCCGCGCACACTTGCCAAGCTTGCTGGGGTTGGTCCCCGCTGTTCGCTGCAGCCCCACCGCAGTCGGAATCCGTGGCAAACAGTAGAGACTTGACGTTTAAACGCCACACGATTATCGGCACACTCGCGGTCTGCCTAAGATGGTCGACCATCTTATTCAACGCAACGGCGTACCCGACGGTAGGATGCGAGACCTTGCTAGCCAGCAAGGATGCGGAGCCCGACGCCTCGGCTCGCGTTTCGCGCCCCACCCAATTGAGACGGTACACCATAGATCTGAAGTCCGATCTCGCGGCCGACGAGTGGCGCATCGTGATCAGACCTCCTGGCCCGAGGAAGGGTGAGGCGGTTCAGCTGCTCGAGGATGTACTTTTCTCGATCAACCAGTACCCTGTCCGGCAGCCTCCTCAACCTTCGACCGATGTAATCCACCCCCGAAGCGCGCGGCCTCTCCGTCATGCCAAGATCGAAGCGCTCTCGGTAACACTTCAGCTCATCGGCCTGCACCGGGGGAACGCGTGCCATGCACCAGTCGTCCACCTCTAGGATAACCGTGGACGCAGGACCCCGGGACCCCCTCTTGGTCATCCAGCACGGCTCGAGCTTTGACGCCACCTACCCCCTTGACTCGAAGAACGCTACAGTGGTGCGATGTAGAGCGAGGGGGGCGTCGCCCAATCCGCAAACAGGGGCGATGGGCTCGATCAGAGACCCGGGGGGAAGGGGCAATCCCTCGCATGGTTCGACGAAAACCCTCCCCCAGGGGCGAACTTAGGGATCGCTTTGACAGAACTCATTTCTGAGATCTCCGATCTGGATGTCCATGTCGAGAGCCAGTGACATCGTCAGAAACAACATCAAGCCCTCCATCTAAGGAGTGGGGCAGTAGACCCTAAGTTCTCCAGTGCCTTCGTCCTCGTGTCCTCGAACACACCAACGACTTGTAGCTTTGGGGCGAGAAGACGTTCCTTCCTCAGGTTTCCACCGTCTCACCATGCGGCTGGACACGACCCGGTTAGGATACCTAGCCCGGAGCACTCGACCCTCCTCGGGTGTGAACACCCGTGCCGCCTGCGAGTCTTTGATGGCTGACCATTCCTTGGCGTCGGCGGCGTCGAACTCCGCCATCTCTTCCGGACTCAGGCGCCTCTTCGAAACTTCCGAACCCTGGACGTGGCCAGCGCCAGGGCCCCCCCCCCCCCCCCCAGGAACAAGCGCCGCGCCAGCGTTTCCATTCCCGAATTCCGCCCAAGATCCGCTCCAACCCCTGTCTGCCATTTCTTCGCGCGGAGAAAGAAAATACTGACTGGTCTGTTCTGCTGAGAGAGACAGGAGGACCATCTCGTCAATGTCTCGGACGTTCCCGCCGGGTCCCGGCGCGCCCTGGTCTGGAGAACTGGACCCGGCTCTTCCTGGCTCTGGAGGAGAAACTCTCGAACCGACCCTGCTCCAGTCGGCGATCATTCGCCCAGCGCGCACCTCCGAGGGCCCTTTGGGGCCCACGACCGGCTGAGGGAGATTTTCCAGCCAGGCCTGGTGTCTGCGAGTCTGCTCCTCACGCATCTGACGGAAAGCCTCGTCGCGGTCGCCCCGGGGGCGTCTCCTCGTCTCCCCGTCTAGGAGACGAGCTCTGCGGACGGCCTCCTGCCGCTGCTGCCCCACGCCCGCGCCTGCGGGCCGGGGGAAGAGGAAACGGATTTGGTTGATCGGCCGCGCTCGGGGCCACGGATCCAGACGGGGCCACCGAGGGAGCAGAAGGACCCGACTGAGATCTGCCTCTCAGGCGGGCGCGGTGCCTCGACCTGAGGAATCTCCCGCTCTCTGGCGCCTGCAGGGGCGCCACCCGCTCTCTGCGGCACTTCGTCGCGTCCTGCGTCGCCGAGTGACCCCGAGGTCTCGGGAGGGAGCGCGGAGGGGGGAGGGGCCGTCGCGGCCCCCTCGGCAGGTGGGGCCGGATCTTCCCAAGCCTCGATCGGGGGGGGGGGCCCTCTCGCACGACGCCCACCCTGGCTCGGTGCATCCCGGATTGCACTTCTCTGATCATGGAGGCCACCGCGGGATCTAGCAGAATCTCCGCTCCCCGCGCCTCTGGCCCAGTGGCGGGCCTGAGCTGCTCGCTGGCGCATGTCCACGGTCTCGCTCTCATGGGCACCCAAACGCTGTCGTTACGTTGAAAGACCACCACCCCCGGGCCAGTCCACCTGTCGCGTTGCAACGCGTAGGTTTTGCGCTGGGTCCGGGGAGCCCTGCGCCACGCGCTCGATGTCTCGGTGCCCTCGCTGCGGCCTTCACCGGGGCCTGGCCCCCTTTCTGGAACAACTGGGGCCGAGCAAAACGCCTGATGCTCATCGCTCTGGCGAAGTCCGCGGCAGCCGTGTCTTGATCCCACGCCGTCTCGTCGAGATCCTGTTGGCCAGCTAAACCGAGGGGGTCGCCTGACATCAACTCGCGCGGAACCCGGGGATTCCGCCCGAAGACAAGCTGGTTCGGAGAACCCCCCCCTGTGGAGATATTTGTTTTTCGAGGCCACAACTTCATGCTCCAGAATCTCGAGCTCCCTTGCCGTGGCGACGACGGTCTGCTCGGAGCCCTTGTCTAAGAGGTCCTTGACCCACCCCCGTGTCTCTCCGCCCTGCCGTTCCCCCATGGGGCCTCGGCGTTGACCGCGTGCTGCAACGCGCCCTGCTGCTCCAGTCCCCTGAGGAACTCAGCCTGGGATTCGGATCCCCCGTCCGAAAGCACTAACTCCGGGGGGAAAATACCGAATCCACGAGCTCGCGAAAGCCTCCCACGCGCTCAGCGCTGTCGGAATGCCGTGTCCACTGCATCTGGCCACCACCTGATAGCTGCCACCGTGACACACAGCATCTAAGAACGGGACGGAGCGCCCCTCAAAGCAAACGTAAAACGCGTCAATCCCAACAACACGATTACATTGGTAGGTGTGAGGCATGGCGGCTCTCCGCCACTGTTCCGCCTTGGGATGTGCCTCGCAGTCGGGGCACGAAAATGGCGCCTTCACATAGTTGGGGACCTCTGGACCAGCGCGGGCGCCTCTCAGGGCCCGAAAAAGGAGAGGGAGGCGCTGATGGCCCAGGCTCACATGGACCTTGCACAGCAAATCTCAAACCCGAGCGTCGATGTGAAGTGGGGTCTGGTCCTCCTCAGGCCGTCTTCCTCGCCCTCCTCGTCTCCCTCGGGAATGGAGTCGAGACCTCCAGAGCCATCGCGGCGTCTTGATCCTCGGGGTCGAGATCCATCTCGCTATTTTCCGCAGACGGGGGGCCCACTTCCACCGCTTCCGCCGCCAGGGCGTCGATCTGCGAGATCAGACCCCACAGGGGCTCCGGATGGGCCGACTTCCGGGCCATGTGGGACACGATCATGGCAACTGTTTCGGCCATATGTTTGCAAAACGCAGGGGGGGGGGGGGGGACACCTGAGCATTTCTAGTCGCCGTCTGACCTTCCAAGACAGTGTTCGTGATAACCTGGGCACTGGTACTTCTGGAACATCTCGACCACGATGGGGTCATTCGTTAAAAGCCGAATCCCCTTCCTGGATAGCCTGCCCCCCGAATCCACCGTGAGGCCGAAACAGCGCATGTCGAACGACGCCGAATGCATGCCTGGCATGGTGGCCAGCTGGACCACCTGGGGGTCCTTCCAGGACGAAGCTGTGTCGGGGTGCTCTAGAACGAAGGCGCGCCCGCCCCGGTGCTGGACGGGCCGGGCCAAGTCCGCCGCGCGGCGAAGGTGCTCGCGACCCTCCAGGACCAGAGCCTCGCGATACTCGGAGTCCATGGACCCCTTGCTGACCCTAAAGATGGCGCCGTGCGTCCCGCACGGGGGCTCCAGCATGACCACTGCTGGCTT